GTGAGGTATACTTGATTTTATAAAAACACCAACTCTTTGTTTAGAATATAAATTTTGATCAGCATTGGTGAAATATCCAGTGTATGATTTAGGTGCAATAGGATTAAAAGAGCTTCTACAATGGGTTTCTTGAAGCGATAAAAAGGTTGGATTAAAATCACTTATGAGTGTACGGAGTTCATCAAAATTATTAATAAGTCCCTTAATGTTCCATTGTAGAATTTTAAAAACTTAATTAATTGTAATGACATGGAAGCAGAGTGGAAGGAGGGTTAGGTTGCCATGTCAGCGTCTCCGTCAAGAAGGTCGCTATAGGAATTTTTTTAATTGATTTATTCTTACCAGCAGAATAATCTGTACTTAGGTGGTTTGGTACTTTTGAAGCGCAACGAGTGGGCGCACGTGAATAATTTGAAATTGAAGGTTGATTAATGGATGAAAGAATGGGTTCATTACCATTTGTAGTTTGTTGAATAAAGTTGAGAGCTGGAGATTTTGGAAAGTTTAGTATATTGGATTTTAGCATAAATGTTGTTGTTTCAATTTTTTCAATATTTGTTGTTGTTTTGGTTTTTTCAATATTATCTTTGGCGGGTGATGTAACTGGTTTCGCAATATAATTTTTGGTTAAGGGGGGAACAGGTTTTCCTTTGGAGGGAGTTGGATTTGAAGGCTTACTAGGCTTGTTTTGCGAGGCAACAGCAGCGTAGGTATTACTTTTGCCAATTCCTTGGGCTACAGATGGATTTCTTTCCCGGTATATGCGTCGCGCTTCGCTCATACTACAGTAATTTTCTGTTTTGATTTTTAGTATTTCACGCATCTGTACAAAACGTGGGCATTGTTTGTCTAAAGCTGAGTGTTGATCATTGCAATTTATGCAGAAACTACGGGTACAGCTTTCAGCATATGGAGGAAGACCACAGTTAGCACAAGATGCAGCAGTAGTGCATCTTTTTGCCGTATGACCCAGGCGTTGGCAATTTTTACACCTCATAAGATTTGGAATGTATAGTTCTACTTTACATTTATACCATGCCACATCAACTGTTCGCGGTAATCGAGAGCGATCAAAAGTTAAAATAATCCTTCCTGTAGGAGAGCGTGTTTTTCCGTCATCATACAGTTTGGTTAATTTATATACTTCAGTCACTCCTTGATTGCCCATTTCGCGAACAATTTCATCTTCCGGTACATGCTTTAAGCAAGGGACATAAATTACGCCTCTAACTGAGTTAAGTTTCTCATGCAGTTTAGCGGAAATAGCACAGAGATTAGCTAAAGATTTGGACTTTATGAGCTTTTCGGTTGCGCGCGGGTTCCCAGCGAGGACCAGTAAATTCCCATCGCGTAGAATCGAGATGGAGTCGATGTATGTTGTAATGCTGTCTAGAGCTTTTTTTATAGCAAAAGGGCTAATTTGGGAAATTGTTATTCTAGCATCGGTTGAAGAAATAACAATATATTTTTTATCAATAGGAGTTATGTCACTGATTGGCAACACCGGAAAATCGGAATTTTTGCTTTTTTTTCTTAGGGGGGATGTGTCAGCTAAGAGTTTTTATCTGGCGGCCCCGGGGCCATTATGCCTTATGGTTGTCCATTGTTTATTATTTGTGAAATAACTACTCACTAGAAAAGGTTTGGGAAACTACTGAAGATAATGTCAAATGTTTTTAATTTTCTTTTTTTTTGTATTTAAAGGAAACACGTACGGTATCCGCGATGATAAGTTTTAGCAATAAACACACAAAAATTTCAACAAATTTTAATAAGTTTGAAAACTTTTAAAAACGTATAACGCAATAGAGAAATTAAATAAAAGAATAAATTGCAAAAAAATTTTTCACAAAGAGAAAAATATGACCACTGCGCTTGAACAGAGTTGCCGTTCTTTGAATGACAGATATAACCTGATGTCTTTATTGTAAAATTATCCATTTTAAGGTCTTCTGAGCGAATTTTCTCTTAGGGATACTTTCTGACAATGTAACCGATCAAGGATCCAACAAAAAAAAATAGTCGTATTCTGATTATTTGGCTTTTGGAGTTTGTATAAATTTTGGTAGTCCGAAGTAATATTTATAAGACAGCGTTTCAATACCAGTCTTATTGTAAGACAGGGTGGTTGAAACAAATATGCCTTGCGACTTTCGATATCTCTCTAATGTTGCTCACAATGCAAAAATTAGGCGTAAGGGCATAAATTCACTTCTTCACAATTCTTGCACTTAACTTAGTCAAAGTGTAGGGCATCGAACCTAATTTGACTGTTAGTGGCCCGATTTCAAGTCAAAAAATCGTCCATCATTTAGTAACGAAATTTTATGTTGCCTGTATTTCTTTGATGGAGGAGTTAAAAAATTATAGGAAAAGCTCTCTCGTCGATGCCGTACGTGAACGTATAAATTCATATAATATTGCGATTTGCCCTGAGATTCATATGCTCGATATTGTGTGACTTTCCTTAATATCCAATATGTTCTTAAACATCATGATTATAATCTGTTCGTGCGGTTTGCGCTGATATTCAAATGCTCTAAGACACCGGTATAACTGCCATATGTTCGATATGCCATCAGAGTTTACGTGTAAAAAGTTGTAACTACGTTGAGTCTTCTATCGTTAGGCACAAAATTAACAGAAATATAATCACTTGAAAAAAAAAAATCTATATAATGAAGGAAACTGTTGATTGTGTATATAACTCTGGAATCGAAATTCAATTTATCGCAAAATGCAATGGAGCGCGAATCACAGCCTCACCTCTATATTCTAAACTTTCAAGTACATTTCCGCACAACTATTTATCAAGTCTCCTTGAGTTAAACCACACGGAAAAAATAATATGTTTACTTTTACCTAGGTTTTAATTACGAGTTCAATGCGAAGACAATAAGAACAAAATGTCTAGTGCTGGAAAACTATTTATTATATGCGAATAAAGTATAAGTAAATTTCCATGTGCAGCTTCATACTGCATCAGTAATTTTTTGACAGTAATTTTATACAAATATATATGTAAGATAAAGCAAGTAAAAATCTTTTTTGTGTCTCACCAGATAACTCGAAGATCAAAAACTTATATTTTTAATAAATCTACCCTTTATAAGACTAATGATTATAGAATTGTAATTTATCTTACGCTAGGGATAATGTATTTCCTTCATATTATACCAAATACAATATCGAGTGTTATTCAAATGGTGTGCGTAGTATTAAGATGTTGAAGCATAATCGGGAGAATTTCCTAGTACAGATTAGTCTAGTATAGTCTAGGCGGCTATAGTAAAAAACCGCATTGTCGTTTTCGTAGATATCTACGTTGGCTGATCAGAGGGTAAAAATGATTTCGGAAACATCGAGAGAGAATCTTATATTGCCTTGGACAAGGTACATATTTTTATCCGCATTCATAGATCTCATGATTTTTGGAAAATATTATTACAAGGCTTTAGTAAAGATTACTAAACATGTTAAACAGGAGAGTATTCAGTGAGATCTCTTAGCAAACGCAGCGGAAATATCCGTGACTTTTTATGCTATCATATATGGATTATCTGTTTAGCATCATAAAGTCTATGCTAAGTATATCGGAGTTCCAAATAATTTGTTGTTAATTAACTACAACAAGCTCAGCAGTTTGAATGCTTTTCATTATATGAACGTGACAGCGAAAGCAAATCTTGAAAATCTGAAAAGTAGAATCAGCTAGAGTCAGTTTCACGATTATTCCTAATTATTTTCTTGCTACGGAGTGAAAACAAGTAAGAAAATAATATTCGGCTGCAGCCGATTATTTTATAGTCATTACCTCTTAATACTGGTCAATAGCATGCAGACTTTACAGGGTCCCTGAAGCTCCCTTCTGAGTATTGCAAGAATTTCATATGTTAATAATAATACATTTTGATGAATATTAAAAATTAAATAAATTTCCATCACAGGTATAACGATTAATCCATACTGTTTCATTCCACAGAACTTAGATCTGAAAAAAGCATAACAATAAATAATGCCCGTTCATCCGAGGTGTCCTGCGTCAGACCTCCGTTTTCAAATTTGCAAATCCCTCTGCCTTGATCTGGTCAAGCGAGCAGAAAAAGTATAAAAAAGAATACACGCGAAATAACAATATCTTCTGCTTGATGAATCATATAAGAAAATCGACAATATTTTCTTAAACAATTGTTGTCCAAATTACGCTCTGCTACAACATTTCAATTCATTGCCTTTTATGTAACGGTCAGTTGAAATTGTTTATATGAATTTATTCTCCAACTTGTATTAAACTCGGCAGTTATCTTCGCTTTAAACTTCGACTGGCTTAAAATTGCTTATCTAGCAGGATTCAAGATACGATTAGATGTTTAAATGTCCATTAAATCGATTGCGGTTTTGCGCTTCTGGTTGGTTGGTAATCAATGCTCGTTGCGCGGTAAAACGTTTCAGATACAAAGTTTAAATGAATTGCTTTCCTGCTTATCAGGATATCGATTAAGCTCGTTCCATTGGCTGTATGGATACTACTACTTGTTATATAAAAAATCTCGACGAAAGTTATCTGTTATCTAACATACAGACAGTTCACATCAAAGATTAACTTCTCAATTAGGTAATTAAAAATTTGTGATATTACTTTTAAATATAATGTAACACGGCTGTGTAGCTTTTTTCTTTTTTTTATTAAGACTTTTTCCTTTTTCTTACTTCACTTACTATGAAACGCATAGAAATTTGTGGTAAAAATTATACCAACAAGGTAAAAACATGACATAAGAAACAGATTTCATATTTCGTTACGCTAATTGACACAGGTTTGTATGTAATTTAATTTTTTTTCTTTTCTTTTCTTTTCTTTTTTTTTTTTTTGTTATCCATTACTTTATTTTTACATTTTAATAGATTTGTTTTTTTTTTTTTTGTTTAACAATTTCTCTCGCTCTGTTTCACAAAACTTAAATAATTGTTATAAGTTTTCAGGTAACTTTTTTATGTCACTAATTACTTGAACCATTCACAATTAGACTTTCGAGAGCAGCTACAACGGGTCCTTGTAGTAATATGTACAAAAATAATGAACATATATAAGTGAGCAATACGCAGCCGATACTCAAGAGAATCTAAAATTTAATCATTCGAAGATTAATTAATATCGGAAAGAGGTTCAAATTTAAAAAAAAAAAAAACGTACCACTTGACCTATTGACCAGTAAACTGGTGTATCAGCGCTAAATAGTATAAAACGTATTATCAACGGTGCCAATAATACACATATAGATTTTAGTTGCTCCAGGGTGTGGGTATATTTAAAATTTAGTACATTATTCAAAAAGTCTGTAATAAGAATTTTAGGAAATACGTCAACTTTTTATAAAATTATTCATTATATTAATATATCCAGAGATTTTGTATACATAATCCGCATGAGTAGCCGAAAAGACAAAGGATCGCGACTAACAACTCAATAGCCGCGAGTTCAAATCTCAAGTGCGATTAGAGCTTTGAATACAGGCGAGTATATGTATGACCTACGTTGTCCAGCAGGCTTTAAAATCGATACCTTGTCAATTTATTTACAAAATGTATATATAGATAATAAATAAATAAATAAATAAATATTTTGTGCACAGACTTGGTAATGAAAGAATTTGCAATAATATCAAGAATAGCTTATGGAAAGCCGTATGCCTCTCCTCACTAGAGTGAGAATCTTTCATCTGTTAACGCCTTCTGTACGCCCTTAGAATGCAGCGTTAGATTGCGAACTACGATGACTTGTTGTTTCGGATACAATTACTTGTTTCAGTGCTACTTTGGAGTTATGGGTTCAAAAACATCGTTATTACACCCTACAGTCATTTTTGATAACGATTTATTAAGTTGCGGCGATAGGCGATTATAGCAATCGATTAGGGAATACTTTCCAAGTCCATTAATCATGTCTATATTTCTAAAGCTGTTTAGCGCCTATGTACAGGTGCATCCAGGATAAGTGTTCTACGGAGATAAATGAGATATGTCCACCAATTGTATCCTTCAACAGGATTACATGCCTTCCTCAGTGTTCTCATTCACTCGTCCTGGAGTTAGCTACCTGTATAGCGCACAAGGCACTACCGCGACTTATCGTTTTTTAACGATATTCGCCGACTTTGTAACAACCTATCAGCAGTGGCCTTCCCTGAAACATCAGATGTCTTCATTTTCAAGTGGAAGATTCATAAACACTACTCACTTTCTTTACCAAACTCTTTCTAAACTGCTTCCTTATCACCACAATACCCGCGCAATTTGGGGGGACATCCCCTGAGTATTAGGCCATAGAAAAAAAAACTTAAACATGTTTGCGTCATTTTAGTCGTACAATCTTAGCTTGATGCATATCGACGATGCGAACTTGATTTTGAAGTCGGTGTATAATTATTATTATTTTTGCTATTATTGTTATTACAGCCTGTACAGCCACTTGCAGTAAAAGCGTACATTAAGTTTTTGCGAATGTATGCAAAACCCAGAAAAACTTGAGACAGATCCATCTTTTATCCCATCAATCGATTCAGAATTACTTTCGGAGTCGGTCTAAGCTTATTTGTTTGTCCGTTTTCTTTGATCCTAAGGCCTCAATTTTTGAGATATTTGGAAGAAATTTGGTGAATTGAGTTGTGTTTGGGGGAAGGTTGAACGCCATTGAAAATTTGTTCGCAGCGGACGACTCCCATATAAAGCCTTATTTTGAAAAGTCGAACTTAAGCGAACTGATTTAGGGTATTTAATATGTTTTATGCTGCCTTTTTCCTTCTTATATATTTATATGTAGATTTTTTTAAGTTTAAGATGCTTTTCGTTTCTTTTCAACCTTCATTTATAAGCCTCTCATTTCAAGAATTACTTAATTCAGCTGAATCTAAATTTCATCTCAATTATATAAATAAACGAATACAAAGAATTCAAGTATGAATACAGAAATCTAATATTTTTGTCGCGACCGAATGAACCCTTGAAAATACACTTAATAGCTTAGCGTAAGTGATTATTTGCATTTTTGATATACTTGTGTTAAAACGTAAGCGTAAGTTTATCTATCAATAAAAGGATGCTGGATGATTACTTACCGCCAAAATTTGTCATACATGTCAATATGATCCATATTATTAAAGCGCACCACAATATATGAGCCGTGGTATTAAGGAAGGCCTTCACCAATTGACTTAAACGTTCTTCCATCAAATCGTAACCAAAGAATGAAAATATGATCATAATCAAAAACAGAAACCAACCTTGGGAGTTGAAAGAATTATTGAAAATTACAAAAAGAAAGAACAATTCAAATATTATAAACCGCCCATTACGCTCTTCCCAACATTACTTCGGCTATTTTCGCCATAACTAAATCTCGTTCCTAAGTGAAGTGTTTACTTTGATGAGGATCCTTTGCTAGTCTAGCGGAAATCTACGAGGAAAAACTTGGGACATAATTCAAATTTAGGAAAATTTATTTTTTGTCAAAAAGCATATAACTATTCACATATTTTCATTAGAAAATATCAAAAATTTTATCCGTTTGCCATTGAAGGACTCGTTATTCAAGAGAAGCTTTACCTGGGAAGGGATGATAAAAATAGACTCTTGCAAGCCATAGTTATCGATACATATATGTTTTCTGAACGAATTTCTTTCATAAAAAATTGAAAATTGGACCGGGTTGCCCTATATAAAAGCTTATGCCTTGTGAAAGAGTTAATATGGGAAGGGATTCAAGGAATTCCTCCTACAGTTCAACATTTATAAAGCATATTAAAACATTACATTTCGCTTATCTTTGTCGGAGAATATTGAAATTGAAAAATTCTTTTCACTGAATTTTTTTTTTTTTTTTTCTTATAGTGGGAAAGGGCAAACGTGGTGCGACCCAATTTATTTTTAATGGGGCTCGTCGTACATAAATACATATGTACACATATATATATACATATATATATAGATGTATTTTTATATATAAGTATATATATATATATATATATATATATATATATATATATATATGTATTTATATGTATGTAGAGTGTGCATCGTATAATAAGTAAACAAATTCAATGAACCGTAAGTTAAAAAAGAGCAACAAATTTTTTACCTGCTATTAAAAAATATGATTTTATATTGAGATTATGATTGCTTTTAAAGATGAAATAACCCAAGCATAAGCCTAACAAGTAGGGCATAACAAATAAACAGACATTATCCAAAACCAGGTTAAAAGACATCAGTTCATAATGTAGAGTTGTGCTAAAATCAAAAGTATAAATAATTAAATACACAAAAGAAAAAAGATGTGCTGATCGGACTTTCGATCGATCTTGATGTAATCATTATTCATATACCTGTAGCCGTATTCTTCATAGGGCTCCAACAACCACATTGTGGCAGCTAACCATGCTATAATAAATATACTGAACCCTATGACAATAGCATAACAGACATGTACCTTCACGAGAAGCATTATCAAACAGCCCATGATAAAAAATTGTATTTCCAAAGATATAAACCAAGTCCATGGCATGCACTAAAATATAAACAAAAAAAAAAAAGGTTATTTCAACAGCACTATACAACAATAAGTGTATGTATTACTGTATTAATTTACCCGTTCAATCAATGGAAAAAACGTGTCAATGTAAAATAAATTTCCTAAAAGCTTTTGAGGACAATTTTTAAAATCTCTTGATGGTATCTCCAGAGTGTTGTTATAATAGAAATGCTTATCTAATAATTGGGCCGCGTATAAAATGAAGATATAAGAAGGTGTTAAACTAATTTGGGAAAATAATAAAAAAATTTAACATAGATTGCGAAGAGAGTATTTTTTGTATTTTACTAAATATCTAATGCATGATTATACCCTACACCAATTGCGATACGAGAATATATTTTATTTGCGTGGATGGAAACAACACTGAGAAAAACATGAGGTAGATCCACCTGATCAATATAAAGTGTTACGTTATGACCTGTTAAAGTCTAGTGAAACAATTAATAGTAAATAGTATATACATACATAATACATAATATTAGACATTAGTAACAAAAACTGATCGATTGAAAGCGTTCATTGTTCAAGAAGTGGTCACAATGTAAGAAAACAACAACACGCTTTTGTCCATGATAACACTTCAACACATAGGACAAAATCGATTTGCGACCCGTTGGCAGCACACAACGAGAAAATGCTAGCTAATGCGGCTTATTCATCAGAATCGACGGTTATCTCAAAAAGTGGGTAGGAGAGAATATTCACAAATTATACGCAAAATGACGGAACGCAGTAGCGACATACCTTGAATAGGCGACTATGTGTCATCCTTCCGAATGTAGTGCCTTTCTTTCGCAAAAAAATTCGTGCTACCTACTTATACACCTAATAAATACGTGCAACCTAAAGGTCGCAAATCTCGAGATATTTTCATCGAGTACGCTGACATGCTGCGATCGTAGACTGTAGAGGTCTACCCCCAAGTAACGTATGTATGAAACAATTTTTCATTTTTAATATACCGTAACAAGGATTGATTTCATTATAAGTTTTAGTTCTACTTGCATATTCCTAGATCGACGCTAACTTTATTAAACGCTTCTTATATTTATGTCGTGTCAGTCATCTTCTTATCGTTGGCATATCAAATGAATTTTCGCCCTGTTTTGTGCTAAGGAATTCAAACTGAAGCTAACGTTGCGTATATTCTTACCTTCATTGGAAAAACGTAGATTTGTCTTAGTCATTAATTTAATATGGACTTGAACGCTTGAGGTAGATCCACCTTTCATTGTATCCGCCGAAGCTTATCTATCTATCTTGTTTTCCGGTGTTAAGCCTACCTGCCGGAATTTGTGAGATATTTTGAGGAAATTTGGGCCAGGGTCGAACGCTATTGGAAATGACTTGGATCGGACTTCTTTTTCGAGCACTTTACATATTACGACACATTATGTAAAATCGTTTGTAGGATGGTGTAGGGTATTAATTGGCGGGCCGCGGCCCACTATAGTGTTTTCATTTGTTTTGTGATAATTTTCTAAAAGTAATTATGACATTTTTTGATTCAATTACCCGAATAATTTATGTAAAATGCTTTTCCATATATAAGTTAATTGATCGAAAACACTTAACTCATCTTTTGGAAAGTTTTTCAAAAACCCATACGCCAAACATGTTCCACTATTTATGGTTAAAAGGAAAGGATTAACAATCGTTATTTTGACTAGAGTTTTAAGAATAAGAAGAACAACAAGAAGAAAAACAAATACTTAACTTGATTAGAAAATATAAATCCATTAAAAAGGCGGAACGCTTAAGTATTTGGTCCAATTGTTCGACTTTATTTCCAATAACACCAAATTCCATATTATTTGCCGTAAAAGTTATTTCAGCAACCAAATGCACGCAAAGATGGGCTATTGTAAATATAACCATAATACCCGATACAGGTAACGGACCATTTTGCACTAAATTATATACAACACTAGGTATTGAAATTGTTTCCAGTAAATTTTCAAAATAATATGCCTTAGATGTTATAACGATTTTTGGTAAATTTTCTGAAATATTTTTCAAGAGAAATCATTATTAGCGGTTATTATGCTTACGCTTATGAAAGATTTATAAAAAATATTCAGGGTTGCGCTTACCGCCAACATGATCTGTATTTTCATATAGTGGCGAATCGTTTGTTTTATAGCTTGCCAAGGTCGGTGCTTTTAATGATCCAAACACTTTTGGTATTGCACCTTTTTGCCGATATGCACTCATTAACGTTAGATGTTTTTTCACCAAATAAACCGTAAGATGAATTAAGATTGAGCCACAGATAATTATGCTAATAAAACGTAATTAAGATAAATAAATAAATAAATAAATAAATAATAACAATAATAATAATACAAGTAAATAAATGAAAATTATCTTATCTGTAACTTATTTTCTCACTATTCTCTCCTCAGATTATATACAAAAATTAGTTAAATCAATTCTCAAAGTTGCACGAACTATAATTCTTTTATCCTTTACAGTTATAAACTTCTACACTGAGTTGGATCAGAATTGCCAAACCGCGTAGCATCGCGTATTCATTTCAATGAAAATAAAATTATTGTGATGTGTTGGCTTAGTAGAAATTTGGAAAACGTTCTATCGAACATATTCTTCTCAATTTACAGATAGATCGAATCAAGTAGACATTGAGCGAATACACGCATTGACGCAGAGAATGAAGATTGTTGAACTGCATGTTGAAGACCGTATATCGCTCGCTAAACACAACGAGCATATTGGGCCGGCCGTTTTATGTCAGGCAGGTAAGTCACGATAGGAGAGATCACGTTAATGACAATCACGTGAAGAATATGCATTACTTTGCATTAAGTAACCTTGTAGCGCATTCATACGGAAATCCAATTCTTTCACGAATAGTTTATATTACTTGCATACAAGCATAATTTGCACGCTTTTCCATTGGAAGACCAAACGATGATCCTATTCACTACAGTGATGTAATGATGAATATTATTGCAGAGCTTATAGATGAGAGAAATCTTACGGAAGTAAAGCATGTCCGTCCATTCATTATCATACCATTTTTTTACTTCTATATTCTTTTTAATATGATCAATACCTCACGCGATATATCCGGTACGTGTAATAAGATGATCGTCAGGAAGAAGTAAAATAAGAGAAAGACATGATACTGTTTCCAAAACCATTCCCTACTTGTCGCTCACATATAAGTATAAAAATAACATGAAGTTTGGTTAACGCTTTTTACCGACTTCCATCTAAACTTCAGAAATATCTATCTATAGAGAATAGATTTTTACAATTTTTTTCTATACCCTCTCTACAAGGTAAATTCAAAAATCATCCATATGCCATACGGAATGCTCGATCACAACTACCGAAATATCACATATGCGTAACATGCATATCAAATACAATGTCATTCGTTTGTGATTGTCGGAGTGAAGATAAATGAAACACACTTCCGACTGGGATTTGGATTAAATCTTTGCTTCAATATATTGCTTGGGCCTTGTCATTACTTGTTGAACACAATATCATTCAAATGTCCTTTATGGGACATCTTACACGACTGGATCTTTTTGAGGTTATTTTCGATGGCTTGTTTGCATATAGAGCAGACAATAGCTCGTTCGCTTCAAAGTTTCCGATTGAAGTGTGAAAACTCTACTTAAATCGTTCTCCAGTTACTTCATTAATGAAATTTTAATTAATTCAAAATTATAGAGAAATCAAAAATTGCTTATATCAGCCTTCTTAAAATGAACCCTAATTTTAATAACGTCTTTCTACCTGTCGTTGCTTTTTGCTCTAGTTATTATTAGTGACTAGTAGCATATTATAAGCATAGAAAATCCAATGTAATTGTGTCAAAAGAGCTCGTTAAGGTATAATAATAGAACGGAAAGCAAGCCGCGCGGACAATTTGGGTCATTCTTCATACGAATCTACCTATAGGAAGTTCTAAAATTTTTGGCAATTTGAAGCTGATGTCCTCATGTTTGCGATGAGAAGAATGTTTGTAAAGACGATAAAACGGACATTCTTAAGTCGATTCAGAATTTGATGCCCTCTCAGAAATATATATGTGCCTTATGGCGTCTAGGGAGATCCCTCCTCTCAGTGAATATATACTCCTCTCAGTTTGCGGTGAATATAAGTAGTAAGAAAAAAAAAAAACAAAAAACAGTATCATGTGACCTTAATACGAAATACTTTTAAGGTTTACAATCAATTCGTAGAACAAGGACGGGAGCAGTTCAGCAGAAAAATTTCCATAAATAATGAAGAGATTTGCAAAGGTAAGAGAAAATGGACTACGCATGAATTTAAAGTGCGACAAATAGAAATGTGGTCAAGCAAACAAATGTCCGCTGTAAGAGCAACGGCCACGCCTAACCAAAGAATAACGAATTACGATTAATTTATGAAAAAAAAAAAAAAAAAAATTAATAAGGCACGTGACAACTTACGGCCAGCTAACGAAGCCGAATATATATAAAATTTATACATGTTCCTTGATTAATATCGCCCAAATTTCGTTTCATACTCATTATATATATATATATATATATAGATTATATTTTTGTACAATTTGCAAGCACTTTGCAACTCGCTGCGCAAATGTACAACTAACAAGCACAGAAAACATTACAGTGGGACGCGGCCCACGATTAAATACCCTACACCCTACACGCACTTAAGTTATTCGTATATCGGTTTAAGTATAATAAGTCGGCAAAATAGGATGTTCTATGGCAAAAACTCCGATCTGAATCATTCTCAATGGCGTTCGTGTTTGCATCACAAAAATTGCGAGCCTACTACTTGAACACAAGAAAGTAGAATTAGCAGGTGGACAGACAATCTTAGATCGGTATTATAAAAACTACGTGTACTTCAAGTTGCCCTAAAATACTTTTATACGACGAACGATGTGGGGTTTAAAAGCAATTATCAAGCATGAATCGATTGCTCTTGTTCTTGTATAATACATAAAGCCTTTCTCAATTAACGGATAAATAGCAAAAATACAATAATAGATGAATCGAATCGAATATGTATGGACTTTATGATGTTCCCATCATATCCATATCTCAATGCGCTGTGGATGTAGACTCCAGAATCGATCATAATTATTGCAAGAGCCGCTTTAAAAGGAAGAAAATGCTTTTTGCTTTATTGGAGGAGGAACACGTTCACGTAGACTTATGGGTCATATCATAAGCTTAGCATCTTTTCAAAAGTTTCGAAAGCAAAATAAAGGTTTGTTGCAATACCTACGTAACATTCTGCTTTCGCTTAAAGGCACTATTATCCATACAAAAAATTGTTGCCCTTAAAGGATCATTCAAAACTCTCAAAACATCTAACAATATTTCATTTCGGATTTTTCATGATGTCGACGTCTTTTAAACTTTTACTATCAATTTGACACAACAGACACAACTTTCTGCACTTTTACACTTAATGTGCAAAGTGATTGATCCCTTGATAGTTGTAAGCAAATTTTTGCTTTGTATCGAGAAATCGAGTTTACAGAATACTTAAGATCAAAAGGCTCCTGCTCGTGTTCGTAAAATTATGTTTTGGTCGTTTCGATTGAATACAACGATAAAGAACAAAAAATAAAATTGAATTTTTCTCTATAGCGTCTTTTTAATCAATTGCTTTTCATTTATTTATACTTACATCATTACATAAAAATTAAAATCTTCGAATATCCTGTAATTATCCTGAACAATGCGATGACGCAAATAGCTGTTATTCCGCACATAACCATTCGAATGGAAGGGAAATACTTCTAAGATTTCTTTAAAATCCCAATTTCGGCATGATTTCGGAAAACATATCAATTGTTGAATTTTTTCATACTTTAGTAAATGGGCAAAAATCAAAGAGATCATCACTTAAAGTAAACGCGTTGCGAAAAAATACTTATATCTCAACTAGTTTACTTACTTTATAATAATTATCAAAAGCAATTTCCATAAGATAGTGAGCAGAGACAATTTGAACATCAAACGATATCACATAAGCGTAGTCATCCAATTTGTTTTTATACTTTTTATATTGTTGCGATAAAAATCGGCAAAGATGAGGATTATGTAGGCGGACGGTGGAACCGGCAAACACTGACCCACCATAGTAACTACTAGCGTCATACACTATCAAACATAAATTATATTAATATGTCTTAATATAGTCTTTAGATCTAAATCGTTTAAACGCAATAATAAGTTTCTTACATTTAATCGCCCAATATTCCGCATGTCGTAAACCCTCAACGTATTCGTACATATCGGAAAAGCAATTTTCCGTTATGTTCCATTCTTTATCGCTAAACTCAAAGAAACGTATCATCGCGTATGGAGTAAATGTCTCAAAGGCATAACCGACACTAGTTATTATCGGAGCATTAGCGATCACTACCATACAATCACCGATTAATATGCACACCATTGCATTTATAAATTTTGTTAAAACATTTTCCGTTAAACTTTTAAACATTTTCGATGTTAATTTGCGACTGATTTAAAAATTCATTGTGCATAATATGTACGAGTGTATTCAAGCAATGGCCAGTACAAAAAACAAAAAAAAACAAAAAAAAAAAAATTATGATCATCATCAAGCATTTCAACTAAATATTGTACGGATTATATTAATAAACAGAAGTTTTCTTTTTTCCACTCTCTTTTCATTTTCCGTTTTCTTTTTCTTATGGGTAAATTTCTTATATTTCTTTTTAATGTTTCTTTTCTCTTAGACGTTTTTTTTTTTTTGCAATTCCAATGACCTTAATTAAAATAAGTTGTACCCTGTATGCACAAAAAAAAATAAGAAAATTATATATGTATATATATATCACCAGGTTAAGTGAAGCGGTGTTCGAGATAAATAATCGATGAACGAATATTGATTAAAAAGTCTTCATAACAATATATTGATCTCTGTCCGCGTGGAAACCGTTTACTAATACTATCGTCACATATTAATTGATTATCATAACATAAACAGATGTAAGCCGGCAGACAATCCCTGATTGATTATTCATTTTCGGAAACATTCTGCCGTTCATATCGCTTCTGATTCCCCAAGAAATAATCAAGCAAAAAAATTATATTTGGCTGTGGTCATATCTTTTATGCCCTTCGCCGTTATCTAAAAAAAAAAAAAAAAAAAAAAAAAAAAATATGAAAAAATTTAATTTCCGTGCCCTATTAATAGTTTATGAGTAATAAGAAAAAAATGCGGAAGGAAAAGGTGTTCTCAGTTTTTGTTGTATAGACCTTTGACCGATTTAGGTCATTTTCAGATTCTTTTGCATTTGCGCGGGTGATATCTTGAATTTGACGTAAGTCAAGAAGGTGTATGTGTTATGGGATTTTTGGAGCTTGGTTCTAGGCATTATAAAGGTTTTGACAAAAAAAATTAAATTGTGGGTAAACGTGCGTGGCTGTTCATTTTCATTTTTTTAACGGTGCTATGGTATCGCCCATAGAATATTTTTATAAGTTTACCTGTTGTCGTTTGTGGGTAATTACCAAATAAACCACTTTTGTACGCATTTACTTCGTCCGATTTGGTCCTTTTCTCATACCAACCTACTTACAAGAACTTCCCACGTTTCTGTCGAATTTTAGCCCGATAACCGTATTTTTGCAGACAGGAGAATATTTACAACAGACATTACATAGATGGATCGACGGACATGCTTAAATCGGTCCAGAATTTAATGCTGATCAAAAATAAGTACTTTTTCTGCGATCTGAGAAGCTTCCCTAAATCGTGATGGTGATGGGTATAAAGAGAGAAAAAACAGGATTTCTTTTAAGGTCAGGATTCTACAGACAGCAAACATACGACCGTTCATGAAAAAGGCATATTCACTTATATTATATATGTCTGTAGTATTCCGTTTGAATAACTTATTCGGAAAAAATATGCATCGTTAAGGGCTCTGAATTTCATATATCATAAATATTTGATTTTATCACTTATTTCGTTCTCACTATTCTTTAGTAAGTGCACATGCAAACTCAGGTATCCAAGGACCCCAAGCCTAAACATTGAAGATATTATGAATCGTAAAGTGGATTTAACTTTAACTGCCTTCCTATCTGTCTGTCTCTCTCCAAATGCTCTTAATTTCTTTTCTCTATTCCTATCTGATTTCAGAATGGAATGGAATTCACAAAAGGAGGTCAAGTTTGCTTGAATTTTGTATGAAAATAATACAAGTTTCCCTATATAGCCGTTTATGAAAATAGATTAATTTGAGACTCTCTACAGTCGCAAGAGCAAAGAGAAGGCGGTGAAATTTAGCAGAAGCATTCCTTAATCAACTTAGACTCTAAATTTAAGAAATCCATGTGATCAACCACAATGAATGCCCACAACGTAGAAGTAATTGTAACAACTTAAGAAAAACGTCGACTCATTTCTCGTGCTTTCATCTATAAATTCCGACACGATGAGTGCATCGGAAAACTGTTACTAGTATATTTAGCAGAAGCACCTGCATACTCGGTCCGAAAATGCACAAGGTTAGTTAACTATTAAGTCCACAATTATCGATACAATTTTTATTCTTATTTGTCTCTGATTTATTCCAATTGGATGAAAAAGATACTAATAAATATATATACATAGTGTCCCGGAGAACATAAATTCAAAACGTTCACCTGCGAATGAATTGCTGTTTTCAACGGTGAACAATTCTCATAACATCTTTCAAGCCAATGCGTAGTTTCAGTGGAATTTTTCCTCATCAAAAAGCGATTAATAAGCGATGCCTGAAATTTGGAATTGGCAATGCCACTAAAACCATCGCAATTCATGAATAAATAATCGCGAACCTTTACTTCGAGTTAACTTATTTTCCAACTTAACATAAGGAAAGTTAAAGGGAACATTTGACGGGAACTTTATTTTTGTTTATGCCGTCACCCTAATTTCAACTCACGAACAAAAAGATAAATATACCTACCTACTTTAATTGTGTATTCAAGCTGAGTACACGCAGCGATATGTACTTGCTTTACATTCGCAAAAATTTGTTTCGTTAGCTAAAGGAGATCGCTGTCTAATCTCAAATTTCGATTTTGAACAACCGGATCCTGCCTAAAGTTTGTCGGTACCTTACTTGTCATTTTCGTGCTGAAATCTAGGAACCTAGACCATGCCAAGCATAGTTAACTAACTGTTGTATATTCTGATGATCTTCCTTAGATGAGTAAATGTTATCAACCGGGTGCATGATCTTCTTACATTGAAACTTTTTAAGATTCGTCTCTTAGGGCTTAAATTAAACTTCATTTACCTATGTATATATATATATATATATATATATATATATATATATATATATATATATATATATATATATATGTGTATATTTGATCAAATACTAAGTTGAATGAAAAAATCTTATCCATTATTCCACATCTCAATTCCATCGCCTTCATAACACTCAGGTATTATTCCTTATTAACAATTTGTTCGTGTGGCAAAACAAATTCATAAGTGAACATAACTGCCAATATGACCAAACTCTTTTTGCACGGTATTGTCTCTATTCTGCTCGAGTAGATGTAGAGTCTCATCTCTCGTAATAGTGCCTTTCATGATGTCCTGATAATTGGAAATTATTGTGTCCCAGGCCATGTAAAACGCAAAAAAGATCTGCAACAGTTGAATATCTACCTACAATAGATGTCGAAATATACACAATGCTGCAAACGCAGCATTATACAAACAATTAAATTCATGATATACAGCGAAGAGTAACAGCGAAGTTTTTATATGAAAAATTATTATTATATTTTTTTGTTTACCGTATGTATATAATAAAAATGACTATAACTTTTACACTCTTCTACTTCGCCAAACTCTGATGCATTTAAATAATTTTTTGCAAATTCTTTACTTATTCATTAAGCACAAGGTATTTGGCTTCTTTATGATGTGCACTCGTAACGCTTGGTAGATGATGAACTGTAATTGCCTCCATTAGCTATGCCAAATAAAAGTGTAAATGTTTTTCATGAGGTAATCTTGTGTATAATGCATGTAATTAACCATATTGGTCAGGCGCCGATACCGCAAACAAATACGTGTTTTAATATTCATGCTAGGAGAGGCATTCTGTGAATTGAATAAATGGAGTAAGCATTAATGTTTTTGTGTTTCTTTTTTACATTTATAACATGGGAAAGTAATGACGAAAGACCTATTTTTATTCCATACACCACTTATCGAACAAGGGGATATTACAGTTTGCGCGGATATATACAATATACAAAGTGAATTGGAATCAAACCCACCTATTATCAAATCGATCAATTGAAAATCACTTTCTAAATTGATCGAACATTGTCTATCCGTCCGTAGAACCTTGTTTCAAAGGCAACAAAAATGAATCAGTAGAGTATATATATGTGATCATGGAAAAAAACATTTTTTTTTTTTCGATTATTTGCATCATGTAAGGTAAGACAATTTAAGTACACTCGGGCAGCTATATTTTACATTGCATGCATTAAGCCACTTTAGCGGATTGAATTTGTTGTAAATACACTACTTCTTCATTTTTCGTTGTCATTTGAAAATATCTTGTGAACAATGAAAACGAGGAACAAAGGAAAACGACAAAGAAATTGTGAAGAGTAACTAGATTCTTTGCTTTAGAATCAATTTGATGTGTATAAGTGTGTTGGAAATAGAACAAATTCTTGCATTTAAGTTATCGCTTCTAGAAGAGGTAAGATAAATTTCGTTGAGTATTCTTCAGTGGCTCTCGACGATTGAATTACCCCTATTCTGTCGTTGGCAGGGTACTTTTAAAAACTATAAAAACTACACGGCCGTTCAATAAGCCACGTTTTTGTTTTCGTTTTTTTTTTACTGAGAATACAAACGCCTCGATTTTTACTCGATCAAGGCCAGTCAACGACTGGATATATAAAAATTCAATTCACTTTAAACAGCAAGGTAGTTGAACATAGAAAAAGTTCAAACTTGAAATGGATATTTTCACAAGAGATTCAAAGCACAATGTGTGTGTGTGTGTGTGTGTGTGTATTAGTGGCAGCATGCATTGATTGACCGACCGCACCTAGTGGGACTTACTTCCTCCAACGAAACAGATTAGTTTCATGACAATTACTTAAGTATTTGCCAAGACACGTAAAGGAAACGGCCACGTCATTCGGAATTCGCGGAAAAATCGAACTCTACATCGAAAAAAATCAATATCAAGAAATATCAAGGAAGCAGATGAACCCCTCAAATAATTGTAAGTAAAGAAAACGAAACTTTATTATTTTAAATAAAGAAGATGGAGGAGTACTTAAGTCTACTTAAAAGATATTGGAAACTGAAGCTCTGAAAGCTATTGGTACAATTTATCGCATTAAAAAAAAAAACAAATTTATAAATTTCAAAGTACAAATACGAAG